AAACACCTTATATGCATGTATGAAATTCTCAGTAAAGTTTTTTTTAAATAATAATAAAATATTTTTTAAGTAGTAAGGTAGAGTGCAGTAAAGAAAGACATCATATGCTGAACCCTGGACTCTACATTCATACACACACATACACCTGCACACAGGAGCACACACATGCAAACATGTACACGCATATATACCATACATACAAAAAGAAAAATCTCTGTAGCATCACTTCAGTTTTTTTAAGACATGATTTCACTACATAGCTCTGGATTGGCCCTGGATTGGCCTGGAACTGTTTCTATAGACCGGGCTGTCCTGGAATTTACAGAGATCTGCCTGCTTCTGCCTCAGCAGTGCTAAGATAAAAGGTATGTGCACCACACCTGGCAATATCATTGCAATTTAAACCTCAAATTTGTAATTATACAAAATAAAAAAGTTTACTAAAAATATTTTGGTCAAACAAAACACATTTTCAGATGAATCTGGTCCTGAGATTTCTATAGGTTCTTTTTAGTTTGAAGAAAAATAAATGATCCCATAACATTGATCCCCTGAATCATGAAAGATGACAGTAACTTCCTCTCAACATTTAACTCAAAGTTCAATCCTCCTTTCATTGTGCCTAGATTTCTAATCTTTTTCCTCCTCCTGAAAAATGTTGCAGTCATTCTTGGAACATTAATGTGATGGTTAGAGTTGTAGTGACCACGCTGAATGGTGAGATGTACCTAGGTCTAAAAGCCTGGAACAGTAGAGGAGTATTGTAAAATATTTTATCAAGTGAAGGAAGATGATTTTAAAGCAGACCATCATTTTATGTATGAGGAAATATTAACAATGCCACCAATTAAATTAGGACACAATTTTGACTTCTCCCTTAGATCTTTCTTCTATTCTTCTATTTACACTTTCTGAAAGATCTTTTATGCTTATATGGTGTTTTTATCATTGCCTCATTGTTATATACACACAAAAATAAACACAATGCACTGAATAAACTGTACACAGTACTATTAGAATGTCTTCAGATACAACTTTCAACTCTTCTAAATCAGTTTTGTACTCAGAATCATTTGTCTTTCAATACTCTCCTCCTCTCTGTCAGCAAGCACACTAGTGAACCAATATTTCTTTTAATGTCTCCAGGGTTTACTTTTCTAAGCAATGATGCCATGTTGAGTCTGGAGTCCATGTTCAACCACAGCAATGACAACCACAGTTCAGAGTTATGGTTGGACACTGTACACTCCAGTTTCAAAGATGTGAAAATGTGTGTGTGTGTGTGTGTGTGTGTGTGTGTGTGTGTGTGTGTGTGTGGTGGGGGTGATGTACCTCTTGGAATCAGTGAAATATGACAGAAAGACTTCCCACAGAAGCCCTCAACTGGTTTCCTTCATACTTTTCTCACTATGGAAGAAAAAAAGCTGTCTTCAAACCTCTATTTTTCTGGGTTTTGTTGCTACTCATAACCTAATCCAATATAAACTGAAACAGGATTTTAAAAGATATGTTGCCATGATCACTTTCCTTTATCATCACAACTTATTCAACCTCAGTGTCCCCTTTGGCTAGTGAATTAGGTATAAATTTTTCTTTACCTTTCAGGTAATATTTTCTAATACAATACTCCTCACCTCATCCTTCACTCCAGCTTTTCTGAAGTAAATTCTCCATCAATATTCCTCTAAAACTGAACTCAGGGGAGACACACATACACACACACACACACACACACACACACACACACACACGCACACAAACTCATACCCTCTTTGAATCAAAATGTGTTATTTTAAGATATTAAGCATCATATCATTTATAACATTTCTGATGAGGCCTTCCTCTACTATTTGATGAGATGTATTTCTTGGGCTTGTGAAAATAAACTAGAATTGCTCATAAATGAAAAAATTAAAGGAAAATTTAAAACTGAGAAATGTGAAATAAATTTCTAGACTAGAGACGATTCATGAGAAATTAATGGGTGCTTTGTACTCCTTGTCACACATTTCTGAGGAAAAAAATACTTTTCCTTTTTCTGGAAAATGAAGTACAAGTTGTCGGTGACAACCATCTATTAAAAATTTTCTTTTTGTGATATAGTGAGGATTTTTTTCCCCAGAGGTAAATTATTCAACACAGTTAATTTGAATCCGTGTTTGAGCCAGAGATGAAGTTATCAATTTTACCATTTTCCCTTAGTCTGTCCTGATATTATCATTGTCTGAGACTCTGGTACCCATAGCAACAGCCACTATTTCAGACACCATTCCCCCAAGCAACAGAGCATGACCAATGACTGAAAATCACCCAGTTCTGTTTCTCAGGGCACTACATTCCAGGCCTCTAAGATTTAAGCCACATCTTACTAGTGAGTATTGAAGGTCCAGTGTGCTTACTGTTGACCCAGCACCGTGGCTGCCTCTCCCCTGGGAGAGCTACCAATCAATACCACCGTGATTGGTTCGATGGCCTATGGCAATGGAATGCGCTTTACACCTGGAGAAGACCCTCAAGCAGAGCCTCCTCAACCTGTACAGGAATGTGGCAGGGAGGGTGGGAGAACAACAACATTTTCAGTGGAGGCCAAAGTCTAAATATTGGAAAGTAAAGTGGAGCAAATTTCATTGGTTCAAACGTTTCATATTTATTTTCATTACTGTACCATGAATTCAAAAGTCTGTTGTGACACCCTCAAATTGAATCTAAAAGCAGGGACTTAGAACTTCACGCTTTACTCAGCAAAGAGAAAGTAGAAAGAACTGAATTGTGAGCTGGAGAGGTTGTTCAGTGGTTGAGAGCATGTACTGCTCTTGCAAAGAACCAGTTTGCTTCCCGGCACCCAGGATAGATGATTCAAGCCCGTTACTTCAGCTTCAGGGCATCCAGTGTTTTCTTCTGGCCTTTGTGGGAACCCACATTCACATTCACCTGCCCGTGCACAGACACATAATTAAAAATAAAATAAAATATTTTTAGTAAGAAACAATTGAGCTTCTGCCATGCCAAGATTTCTTTATTGGGGATTTATTTATAGAAAAACTGAAACAATGGCACAACTAATAGTGGCTTGTGATGGGTACTGAAGTCCAATCACAAGTTCTCTTTGAGTCTTGCAGGTAAGGAAATAGTACTTTTCCAGGTGAAATAAAAGTCTAGTGTTCTTCATGGGCTTCTCTGCATTATCCTGAAGAGCCTGTCAATCACATGAAAGAGATGGATGGGTTAAAGACGGAGGCCTGGCAGCCAAGACAGAACCAGTATCGGGTAAATTGTAGATTCCAGGGAAGAGACTACCACAGGCAATGTTTCAGTATATTCATGCCAGTATACTGTGCCCAGCAAACAAGCAGGGTTCTCTGTCCTGGCGTTGAGATGAGCTAGCTTTTCAGGTAGAGCAAATGTGTTTTATGTGTTTTGCAGCCATCCCCCCTTATCTATTGTGCCTGAAGAGAAGCTACACCTAGCGAAGACATCTGGGTAATAGTGCCCTCTCTGGGAATTTCCAACCCTTGGATCTTCCCAGGTAACCAGTCACAACTCAGATAATGGTGTTACTGCCTGTGTTTTTAGAGAGAGCCTGAACAGACAGATGAACTGCCTTCTTGGGAGGTACCCTGCTACCTCTCATACAGTCTCTTCCTAATTCTTGTTTTTTTGACTTTTTTATTGAGCTTTTAAAATTTCATACATCTCCCACTCAAATGCAGATGGCTTCCCCCATCCATGCCTCCCCCTAAAAGTTTCTTTCATAGAAGAAGGATTTTGGCTGAAGTTTAGAAGCTATCCCCACCCTAGGCTGGAAGGTACACCTGTAATTAAGGGAAAGACTACAGTGATCAGGGCTGTCTTTATGAGTTTGGGGGATTTCCTTCCCTTCTGAGTCTGGTTATCTGGCTGAATTCCCAGTCTCCCCACACAATCCTTCTCAACTCATACCTGCAGGGTAAGAAAAGAACAAAAAGAGAAAACAGCATCAGAAGTATGTTCTTATCCTGATTGTGTAACTAGAGTGTGTGGCCTCCCTCTTTTCCTCACAGATACATTCATGGTTAAATTCCTGCCTCTGATACTTCCTGAGGTTCCTATAAAATAAACATAGCAATGTAAATAAAAGGTCGTAGACATGCAAAATGCCACCGGTCTAATTTCAGCTTGACAACCTCATGGCTATGAGGGAGTCAGCCTAATTTTGATTTCCTATTATCATTGTTGCCCAGGGTGAGATATCAAAAGTATTCCATTATCTTTCAGGGGTCTCACTTTTATTATCCACAATCATCAAATGCTGTTTGTGTATTTTAGTGAAGTAATAGATTTTAGGTAAATTCGAAGACTTTATCTTAATCCTTACCAATTCTATTTGCTTCACTTCTTTCTGTAATTTATTTATTTTTATTTCATCATTTTTTTGCCTTTGTGAGACAGGGTCTCCCTGTAGCCCCAGCTGGCCTGGAACTGGCTAATGTAGCCTAGGCTGGCCTAAAGCTCACAGAGATCTACCTGCCTCTGCCTCTAGAGTGCTGGGATTAAAGGCCTGCAACACCAGGCCTGGCTTTGCTTCACTTCTTTCCCAGAGTTACCATGTGTTTACACTTATACCATGCTTAGACATAGGGCTACAGGTCCCCACCCCCTGCCTCACCTCCCATACTCATGTGGTTTATACAGAAGGCTAATTTGGTGTTTTCTACAACCAGTGAGTTGTTTTTCCTCTCCACTACTAGAGCCTTTAGCTGAAAATAAATGGGGCTCCAGCGTGTGAAGAGACACCTGGATACCTATCTTCGATGTAAAAGGGAATAAATATGTCCTCACCCTTTAAAGGTTAGAGTTTTGCAAACACAATCCAAATGGACACTTTCATTCTGCTTAGAAACAAATAAATGTATTGCAAACAACCGTAGAACAGAAAGGAAAAACTAGAGAAACTGCTGGAAGTGCAATGTGAGCACCTGGCGGTACCCGGAGTCCCCATGGCACTAGGAGAGAGTCCCAGTTCATTTCTTCTTGTCGATTTCTGCTAAGGTGAGCTTGTCAAAGATGTCGAGAGCCATGCTCTTTCCTGGAGCCCCCAGCTGGCGCAGGTTGATCACATAGCCACCTAACTCTCGTCCAGAAATTCGACCTGCTGGGGCAGGAAATGGCTTTTCAGATAGAAGCACAGGTAAATATCGCCTTTGTTGGTGGCCATCTGGTACAGGTCGAGGAGGCTCTGGTTGAGGGTCTTCTCCAGGTGTAAAGCGCATTCCATTGCCATAGGCCATCGAACCCCCATCATCACCAATCATGGTGGTATTGATTGGTAGCTCTCCCAGGGGAGAGGCAGCCACGGTGCTGGGTCAAAAGTAAACATAGCATCTCTGTGAGCTTGATCCACTTTTCTGACTCGTTCAGGAAGAAGTACGCAAAGTATGCCAGGGCCACTTCATCTTGATTGCTGTACGAAGCCGTGGACAGGTAGATGTTGGAGGCGTACACCTGTAACTGGATCTGAGTGTTGACGGCAATGTCACACTCGTGCTGGGAATTCTGTTGAATCTGGAAATGAAGCGGCCATGGAGGGCAGCGAGAATACTGAGGCACAGTTGGCACAGGCACCAAGAAGGCTTCACCAGATCGATCACCAGCAGTGGATCCAGCAGGGGTGGTGACACAATCTTCACAGGCACCTCAGGAGTGAATGGCAGAGCAGGTGATCCAGACAACACAGGTCTGTGGCTCTGGCGAGTCTGAGTCTGAGGCAGCAGCACAGCTATATCACCAACAGCAAAAACTGCTCTACTGGTGCGGTGGTTTATTTAATAAGGTCAAGTGTCAAGAGGTGTGGCATGAGTGCTGATCTCTATAGCAACCCAGAAGTTTAACATTGACCAGCTCACACATATGTTTTTGAAAGTTATTAATAAAGACCCAAACTTTTAAAATTTATTGATATTTTACATGTATGAATGTTTTCCTTGTATGCGTGTATATGTGTACAATACTCCCCTATGCCAGAAGATGGTGTCAGATTCCCTGCAACTGTAGTTACAATTGGTTGCGAGCCACCCTGTGGGTGCTGGGAACTGAACTTGAGTACTCTATAAGAACAACAAATACTCTTAAATGCCGAGCTTTCTCTCTAAACCTAGGAAGCGTTTTTTTTTTTTTTTTTTTTTTTTTAAATCACCTGGATGGTTATTTAAGTTATTTGAATATTACCTAATTATGATTACTTCATTAACATAGTACATTTTTGTGATGCTGTCTCTTAATCTCATAAAGATTTACTTGAATAAGAAGTCAGAAGTTGGAGGTCGGAAGGAAGGGGTGTGTTTCATGACCAGTTCTGACAACCATTATTTCTAGAACATTAAAACAAATAACAGAGTAGAATTTGATTCCCAGAACCTATGGTAGAAGGAAAGAAAGACTCCAGGAAGTTGTCCTGTGACCTCATATGTGTACTGGCATGCCTACAGGCACATACATAATAATAAATAAAAATAAAAAATAAATAAAAACAAATTTAGGGACTGAAGAGATGGGTCAGCGATTAAAAGCATTTATTATTTTTGCAGAAGACTCTATTTCAATTCCCAGTACCCACATCACAAGCCCAAGCACCAAGAAAGCAGCAACAGGTTCATCATAAGAAGTAGATCTGGCAAGGGTGGTGGCCAAACGGCCTCTCCCTCCAGCTCTGGGAACATCGGATGCTTCAGGCCTCTGTAAGCGCCTGTACACATGTGCACATGCCCACCACACAGTCATACACACATATGCATATTTAAAAGATTTCAAAATTAGACTTTAAGAAATAATACTAGAGGACATGAAGTTGGGGTAGGGTGTGTGTGAGGGATGGCAATGTGACTGTGGTGATGGGGAGGGGGCCTGAATATGATCAAAATGCTTTGTGTGAAATACTCAAAGAATCAACAAAACATTTTTACATTTTAAAAATCTATTTTTATTTTCACATGTATAAGCATTTTGCCTGCATGTATGTAAGTGCACCTGTTTGTGCAGTGCCGGCGGAAGTTAGAAGAGAGTGTTGGATCCCCTGGAACTGGAGTTACAGACAGTTGTTAGCCTGCATGTGGGTGCTCAGAACCAAACCCTACTGTTTTGGAAGAGCAGTCAGTGCTTTTAACTGCTGAGCCATCTCTCCACGCCCCCCCCCCAATATTTTCTAAACATCTTTTAAAAATAAAACAGGGTCGGGAGAGATGGCTCAGCAGTTAAAAGCACTGACTGCTCTTGCAGAGGACCCAGGTTTGAGTCCCAGCAACCACGTGGCAGCTAACAACCATCTGTAACTCCAATTCCAGGAAATCCAACTCCCTCTTCTGACCTACATGGTCATTGCACAACACAGGTGCACTTACAAACATTCAGGCAGTACACTCATACCCATCATAAAATAAAAAATAATAAACAAAATATTTTTAAAAAATAAATAAGACAAATTTAACAAAAACAATTTGCTTTAGAGCCCAGCATGGTGTTGCATAGCTGTAATCTTAGCACTTGAGCTGTAGAAACAAAAGAATGTAGTTCAAAACCAGCCTGCGCTTACATTCCTTGCATCCTGTAACCATCATCAAACTGTAAAAGACGTTTTAATGGATATTTGGTTTTTATTTGAATTTTTAAGTGGTACAAGTATATACTGTACACTGAGATTTCCCTCCCATGCCCTTGCCCTCTCCTTTCTTTCTTTTCTCTCTCTTGTTGATCTCTTGTGTTCCTCTGTTCTAGACAGTGTCACTCCTTTCATGTATCTGTATAAAATCTAGGCACCACAAATGAGAGAAAACATACTTGTCTTTCTGAGACTGACTTAATTCACCTAATGAGTATCTCCAGTTCCATTCATTCTTCTTTATGAATTAAAAATTCCATTGTGTATATAAATGACATTTTCTTTATCCATTCCTCGGTTATTAGACACCTAGGATGGTTCCCTAAGTTAAGTATTGTGAATAATGCTCCAATAAACATGGGTATGTAAGTATCTCTGATGCAGAGATACTTGGCATACTACCAGAAAATACCTAAGAGTGGTATTGCTGGGCTACATAGTAGATCTATTTTTAGCTATTTTGAGGAATCTCCATAGTGATTTTCAAGTGGCTGGACTAGTTTACATTCTTACTAGCAGTGTATACAGGTTTCCTTTTGTTCACATCCTTGTCAGCATTTGCCATGTGTTTACTTGACACTCCATCTTACTTCAGTTAAAATGGCTATCATCAATAGAATGAAACTTCTTATCACTCCAAAATTATATCCAGTATCCACTGACAGTCACTACCTGTCTTGCACTTTCTCTAAGTCTGCAACCACTAATCTTTCTGATTCTGTAGATAAGTTTGTTATAGGTATTTTAAATATATGGGATTATACCATATCTGTTTTTTATGTATGGCGTCTTTCATTTGGCATAATGATTTTGATCTCTGTGTTTTGTATTGCTAAATAAATACTACACTCTACGGATACACCACATTTGGGTTACTTTTATTTTCTGTCTGTTATGACTAATGTTGCGAAGAACATTTATGTACAGGTATTGTAAAAGATGTTGTCAGTTCTCTTGGGTGTGCATACAGGAGGAGAACTGTTAGACTGTAGGTTAAGTCCATGTTTAAGATTTTGAGAAATTACTAGATTACTTTCCAAAGTGGTCTCATTATTTTACATGCTTGCCAACAATATATGAGGGTTCCAACGCTGTTACTGTCTTTTGAAACTTTCATTTTAGTCATTTTAGTGGAGGTAAAGTAGTTTCTCTTTGTGGTTTTGGTTTGCATTTTCTCAGTGACTAATGATGCTGAGCATCTTCTCATTTCTTTATTGGCTATTTATATATCTTCTTTAGAAGAACGTTGATTCAAATCATTTGTCTTTTTTTTAAATTGAATTTTCATTTTATTGTTGGGTTTTAAGAGTTCTGTATAATTCATTGATGTGAATCCCTTTTTAGTAGTATGATTTACAAATATTTTCTCCCATTCTATGGCTTGTTCCTCCACTTTTTGAAGTCCATTTTTTTTTTGGTCTTTCTGTAGCCCCAGCTGGCCTGGAACTCACTATGTAGACCAGGCTGGCCTTGTACTCACATAGATCTGCCTGCCTCTGCCTCCAGAGTGCTGGGATCGGATCAAAGGCATGTACTACCATACCCAGCTTGAAGTCCAAATGGTTTTTGAAGTCCAAAATTTCTTATGACACATAATTTATATATTTTTCTTCTATCATTTATGCTTTCAGGCCACATCTAAGAAACCATTGTCTAAGTTAAGGATATAAATATTTAGATTTAGATTTTCTTCTAAGACTTTTATGTACTTAAATGTCAGACTCATATTTAATTAGCTCTTGCATATTATATAAATTAGGCTACAAGTTCATTCCTTTTAAAAACAAGATTTATTTTTTTGTGTGTATGGGGGAAGTACCCATGGAGGACTGAAGGAGGTGTCAGATCCTTTGGAGCTGGAGGTACAGAAGGTTGTGAGCCACCAGATACGGGTGCTGGGAGCCAAACTTGGGTCCCTACAAGAACAGTACGTGCACTTAGCTGCTGATCCATCTCTTCAGTTCCCAGTTTCATTCTGTTACATGTGAATAACAGCACCGTTTGTCGAGAAAAGTGTCCTTTCCTCCCTGGAGGATCTCGGTATATTCCTCAGGAAAAAGATAAAGAAATCAATTGAACATAGATGTGTTTATTTCTGGATTCTCAGTTCTGGTCTGTAAACCTACATGTTTAAAAATATGTCTAAATAGTGGAACACTGTTTTGATTACTGAAGCATTATAATAAATTTTAAAATACAAAAGTGTGAAACCTCCAACTTTATTTTTCCTGTTTCAGTTTTCCCTTGGTCTCTTGAATTTCCTTATGAATTTTAGAATAAACTTCAAAAGATGCAGTTGAGATTTTGCTACATATTGTATTGAATATGTCGATAACTTGGATTTATATTGAGATCTTGATAATACTAATATTTTGGTGCCTAAAGAAAGACTACCTTTTCATTTTATTGTCTGTATGTGTATGGTTCTTTGAGTTCTCCTTTGAACAATTTATGACAACTTTTATTGAGACACGCTCTCATGTTGCCAAGCTGCCCTCAGCGTCATGATCCTCCTGCTTCAGCCCCTTGAATACCTGGGGTTATAGAATGTGTCACTGCACCAAGAGTTCATTTGTAACACCATGTCGATTTCTCAGTTAATTAACCTTCCACATATATATATACATATATTACATATTTTAAGAGTCATGATTTTTACCTCGCACCTTTAAGTTATACTTCAGCACTCTTAATTCTCATCCCTATTCCATCAGGATCACAGAGCCCACCGAAGTTAGCATCATGAACTAAGCACTTTTATGGATTGATCATCAGAAATGTGATTCCAGGAATCTATTTGAGACCTAAGGCATATAAGCCATCATTAGGGCAGACTGTAGAATTATAGATTGTCTGAGGAAAATCAGGCATGGTAATTTGGGTGTGCAGAGACTCAATGAAACCAGCAGAAGAAGCAGGTAGTTCAAGAGCAGGCCATATGCAAGTAACTCATAAGCAGAATACTATAGTTAGTATGAAGAGGAGGCTGGTCTGGTACACACTGAGGATGGTATAGAATTAGGGGTAGCCAGTAGAGAACTATAAATAACCATATGCAGCTGAGAACCAAAGCAGTGGTAAGAGCATCCAGACAAAGTAGTCAATCTGAGATTTGAGATGTGGAAAGGTAATAGATTTCCATAAGAGCTAGAAAAATTCTGTGATTTATGATTTGGATAAAATTTATCCTGGGAGGCAGGAGTTAGGCATCTGAGATTATGAAGGATCCCCTCATCAGCACTGTATGCTCCTTGAGCCAGAATTGTAGAAGGGATGCTGGGATCCATAGACACTGATGGTATGCTGAATATCCAAGATTGGGCCACTGGTTCTGACTTCTGGAGAAAGTTGTTTCCAGCTGTTAATGAGATGTAGGGAAAGGCTAGTATATTCAGGTGTTTTCTCGTACAAGGCAGATTTATAGCACAAAGTTGATAGAGAAATTTCAATGCAGCACTTATTTGGACAGTGATAAGACATATCTGACTCTACATCTATTATGCTCTGAAAAAGAAAAATCTCCCTTTAGTCTTCAATTACTGTTTTGGCAGTGGGTGATCATTACCTTTCAAAAAATTACTTTTATGTGTTTTATTTGCATGTATTTAAGTGCACCACATGTGTATAATGCCCATAAAGGCCAGAGGAGAGTGTCACATCCCCTGGAACTGGTGTTACAGGCAGTTGTTAGCCACCATGTGGATGCTGGGAACCAAACCCAGGTCCTCTGCAAGAGCAGCCAGTGCTCTTAACCCATAAGCCATCTCTTCAGGCCCAGAAGCCATTATTTTAAGAACAAAGGAATGGCCACTGAATTTAGATAGTCCACACAATGTGTGGATTACTATGTTTACGACTGGTGCTTATTCATTTAAATATAAATTCTCTCTGAGGTTATAAACTTCAGCCTTGTTTAATGTGCTGGATCTTCTCCCTTTGCCTTTGTAGGAATACTCTTGTCTTCCATCTTACTGAGAGTCCTGAGAGGGGAAGGCTGACCTATTTCAATTTTATCCATGGGCCTTGGATGCTCTGGGTTTTGGTCAGGATCAGCCAATGGGAGATACTGGTAGAAGATGGGAGGTCAGTAGTACAAAAAAATTGGGTATTAATTCTCTTGGTTCCCTTTCATCATAGCAGATACTTGAGAGGTACGTCTACTTCCCTTTCATAAGATTTTGTTTCCTGGATGAAGTAGGGCCATCCACATGGTAGAGTTTTCACAAACACTGCTCAACTTGGGATTTATTTCAAAGAATCAGTGTTCTCTGGCTCAAGTTTAATGCATGGCCTAAGAAACTCAAGGAGACTCAGGAACCAGTGAATGACTAGAAATTCCTTCAGGCCAGAGAATAATGGAGCTGATGGAAAAAATAAAGTGTCTTATCTAAGATGTTGTCTGGCACCAAAATAATGATATAGGTGGAACCATCACCTGATATTCAAGCCCATTTTCCATCTTGTGGATTTCTGTGGCCTCTGGCTCTCTTCCGTCCTTGAGTTACTAGCCCTTTGATTACTTTTCATCTAATTAGTTGACCTATTAGAATGAGGCTTGCAGAAGAAGCCAGGAGAGTCATTTGCTACTTGTTAGTAACCATGGTAAAAAATCTAGTTGGAGACAATATTGACTTAAATTTGAGGAATATCTATTTGTTTCAAAAGACCTTGTGTCCTTCCCTCCCTGCCTTCTGTTGCCCATCATTACAGCTTTTGCAGAATGTTTTGTGTAGCAATGTGTAAGCTCAACCAAAGCACATAAGGAATTATAGATGCTGACTAATTACACATGGATCATTTAATAATTTACTTTAGAAAACAAAGTATAGCACTCAACTGCAGATAACAAAAAGATATTTTAGTTTTATTATCTTTTCTAAATAGAGGGTAAGTAAATTGTATTGTGTAACATCCCATTCCTTCTTAGAGCACTAGGGATAATAATCAGGCTAGGATAAAGACACTGAAGAGAAAAGATTTATTTCTTGTTCATACTCTGTCAGAAGCACTTAAGTGAGTCTCATAGCTCTACACCAATGGCTAAGTTACATACCCAGAATAAATTCCATCTCGCAGTTCTGCCATCTCAGAATTTGTCACTTCCAATGACACAGAAAGAAAAGAAGAAGCACGGAAACTTTTCACATGCTCCCTTCTTCCTTGGACCAGAAATTCGGTATTTCAACCTAAATTAAATTCAAGAGAACTTGGGATATACAGCATGAAAACATGGTATTTGGTAAGTAATATAATCCTTGTTATGCATGTTTTACCGTTTCTCCTAGTCATTGGGTTTTAAACACATTTTTTTTACATATTTACATAGAATTCATATTTTCTTACCACAGTTGCTTATTAGCTCACTGGCCAATACATAAAATAAGGTTGGGGGGTAGATGTTTATAATTGTGTGTATGTGTAAGTATATGAAGTAATATAATTTGGGTGATTCAATTTCTCCACATAACTGTTTCTGGAATTCCACTTTGGTCTTATTTTTCTTTTCACCCCAGATGCCAGCTTAGTGTTCAGACTTAAACCTAATCTCATTTTCTACCTAGAATC